TAATTGTTCTTTTTTCCTCTGAAACTACATTGGAGTTTTTGGTTACCATGAGTTTTTTAACATAAAAATTGCAGTCTTAGCTTTTATATTTCATCATGAAACTCTCAGTTTATATAATCAATCAATTATGTCAAGAATCAGAATCTTCTGATGGCTCTGAGCTTAACACCGTTCTTGAAGCTGAGAATTACACCATAATCAAGCTGCAGTGGTTTCTCCATTTCTGGGGAATGTCTGAAAACGTAATTACGGTAGAGATGCAGCAAGGTGAGTTTGATCTCTTGCAGGGCAAATCTTTGTCCCACACATGCTCGTGGACCGATGCCAAACGGGATGAAGGCATATGGATGTCTACGTTTCTCCTCTTCCCCTTTCGGATCAAATCTTTCCGGCTTGAACTTCTCTGGTTCTGGAAAGTTTTTGGGGTCCTTTGCTAGAACTCCTAGTGCCAACCAAACCCATGTCCCCTAAACACCACCACCAAGGTAAGTAAAAGAGCACATGTAGTTCCTAAAATGTGAGAGACTAAGGCTTTGAATGGTGACAGCGGACTGAACGCAATCCCAATGAGTTAGATGGATTTACCTTGGGGAGTAGGTAACCTCCTATCTCCACTTCTTTTGCAGTTTCTCTTGCGACCAAAGGGGAAACCATGTAAAACCTCATAGCCTCTTTGATGACCTACAAAACAAGAAAAAACTTACAAAGATGCTAATACCCTCACATAAAATCAACTTCTAGGCTTTGTTTGTTACGAATGAAGCACCTGATCGAGGTAGGGAAACTTGTATTGCAAGTCATGGGCAGTCGGGATCAAATCACGGTCTCCAAACCCGTCGATTTCTTGAATCAGACGTTTTTCAACATCAAGATGACCAGAGACTAAGTAGAGAACAGAGGATAAGGTGAAAGCAGTGGTTGCAGAGCCAGCAAGGAGATGCTCGTAAGTCACAGCACTAATATAATCCGGAGTGAAGATGTTCTTGGCGAAAGTTTCAGACTCTCTAGCTTTCAAAATCAAAGACAAGAAGTCTTTTGAGTCAGTTTCTGTCTCCTTGGCTCGCTTTGACACAATCTCATTGAGTTGTCCACTCAGTCTTGCATTAGTCTTCTCGACTCTCCAGTCCATGGTTCCCGGTATCCTCATCAAAACCTGCCTGAATGGCTCTTGAAGAATCGGAATCAGTAAGCCTAAGATGATGGAGAAGGAGCCAGATAAATCCATCTTGAGCTGTGTGGTGGAGTAGACATGCTGGTTTATAAAATCAGTCACCTCTACACTGCTATCCGGCGAATCTTTACCCGAAAGCCCGAAATTGACCCCGAAAGCAGCTTGGCCGATAATATCCGTGGTTAGTTTGAGGAAGAGATTAGAGAAAACAATATCTCTCGGTTCGGAATCAAGATTATGAGTAGCAGAGGTGATGAAATTGTGCATTGTGGGGATAAGACTGGTCAAATGTGAAGGCTGGTAGAGTGATAAAATGGTGTTTCTCATCTTAGACCATCTCTTATCCCTGTGCAAGATCCATTAAGAAAATGTATAGCAATGCCGGTCTAATGAAAATGGTGGTCCGGATCAAGAAAAACACTTTTTGGCCCTTTTTCGCTTTTCCTCGGGACCGGGCTTAATGTATAAGT